CAGAAACCCTATCAACCCATATAATGTGAAATGTCTCTAAGTAAAAAAGGCAGAAAAAGAATGCATTAATCTAGAATATGTTTCTGTGTGAGTGTGGGAGCTTTAGGAGGGGTAAGTAGGTAGACTCAGATGTTTTTAAAGTTAAAAGCAAATGCTGAATTGCTCTTTTTCGTCTTAGGTTCAAGCTCCAAAATAAACCCCAAGCAGAGAAGCTGCTTAGGAGTGTGATGCGGGGACTGGGACAGGGTGGGGACATGTTAGAAAGGTGAGGTCATCATCCTACGATAGGCAGCTCTGATCATCGCCACAATAATCTGCAGAGACATGTGCACAGAGTTACAAAAATGGTTGTACCAATTAACCAATCAACCAGAGTTATAGAGATCCTAAGAAGCAAACCTTAGGAGACAAAGTGTTACTTCTGTCCACAGGGATATTTTACTAATATTACTAGTTATTTGCCTGCATAACTGGCTTCTTTTATATCCCCGCCCTTACCAGTTTTCTCCAGTGAGAGCTTAGTATAATGCTGGGCAAATATAATAAGCTCTTTAAAAAAAAATAGAATCGTAAGGGGGGAAGGAATTAATAGATTTTTAAAGCTAGAAAACACCTTAGAAATTATCTAGTGACTTGTGAAGCCTCCCAGCCAGTTTGGATTAGAACCCAGGTCTCATAATCCCCAATCTGGACTTCTTTGATGTGTTGTGCATAGATAGTTGCCTTTAGCTTTATGTAATCCTATACCAATATTCTCAAAACTTGCAAGAATTCTTAGTTCCTGGAGAGCAGGTACTCAGTGGGTTAGGTACTGATGGTTCTGTGGTTCCGATCTGAATGGTGAACATGCAAAAGGCAATGGAGAGCAAGCTAGAATCCGAGAAAGGGAAAAGGCTCTGACAAACTGACTCCCTTCCTTACGGCCAGCATATGTCTCAAAGCTCTCTAATCCCTGAGTATCTGGCAGGGCTTCTCTTGACAATTAAAAAAGCGAAGGGAAATCGCACGAAATATTGACTTAAAAGGCCTAAAATCTCTAGGTATGGCTCAGAGACATCTACAGAGAGGACCAAATACATTCTAGAAAGATACTCATACAAGTATTGACAGCATTTAAAATCAAGTCAAGCGCATTACCTACACAGAAAATGGAAGCTAAAATAGCCTTTACATTGATAATGAAATTTTAAAATTTAATAAGAGTGTGAATTTAATTCCCAACTACCCAAATTTTGCAAGAGGTCTCTTTTCAGCTAGCTTTCTCTTCCCCTCTCCATTTGCTTGATTAGCAAATATATATAAAAAGAGACACTCTCACTGAACCACACAGACCCGCCCAAATACCCTTTGTCCAGTCCCCCATTGGGAATCCAAGGTCTACCAACCAGGCCTTGCTGTGTCATGCTGCCACCGTGGGGTGGAAGGACAAGGCATGGTGATGGTGGGGAATGGAAGCCCTCCGGCATCTCACTGTATGCGCCTCATTCTGGGCTTGGATCCTTCTCATGGCCATGTCCTTCCCCCACCGATTCCACTGAGCTGCAAATAAGCATTCCTTTTCCGGAATCTGTCCCTAAACCTACTAGCTTTTGTGTGCTGTACTAATTCAATATGGGATCCGGTAGTTCTCCAACACAGAGGCCCCCCACCTTCCTACCTCAAGCTGCTGCTTTCTTCGGAGCAAATGTTTGAGATGTGGAGGAGATTATTAAAGGAAATGTGAGGATTAACCTCAATATTATCTCATATCCCTTCCCCCAAACTGCCTCCTATGGAGACACATTTGGGGTGAAGGAAGACACATCAATAAAACACTACAGAAAAAAAAAGAAAAGAAACAGAGGGAAATAGAGGCTAGAGCAATACAGTAGGATTAGAGATTCATAAGAAGAAAAAAAACCACACAAATTATAGCTTGAAAGAAAGATAACTAGACTGAAGATAAAATACACAGGGCAATAAATTATAGGCAAATAGGTACTTGAAATGAGATAAATGCTAAGAAATAACTACAGGTAAATTGTTAAAAATTAATGTCTGTGTTCAGGATTATAAGGCATGGATGGAGATGTGAGCAAGAGATGTAAAACGGTGAACAAATTAACTACCGTTGTTCATAGCGGCGCCTTCTCTCCTCTAGAACTGTCCCCCAACCTCATCCTTATTTGGGGGTCCCTAACCTAACCAGAAGCAGCTGCTCTTCTATCTCTGCAGCCCCCCTACCCCTTACCCTCCCCCAGTTAGTTTACCTGTTATCAGTGAATTACTAGTGTGTTCCAAAGATGGAGGGAGGACCCCAGGCTCCGGTCCCTGCTCTGGGCTGGAGAGAAAGGCAGCAGCGGGGGCTTGGCCGGCTTTGTCTTCTCGCTCCCGCTCCCTCTCCAGTGACTGAGCTCGCGGCCGCCTCCCCCTGCAATGCAGCCCCTCCTAGGAAGGCGGGGGGCCTCCGCCCCTCCCTGCCTGACTCGGCTGATTCAAACCATAGGCTCCCGGACGCTTTCGGAGGCAGCGGGCTGAGGCTCCTCCGCAGGCTCATTGGTCTGCACGGTGACCCCAGCCCGTCCAGGGCCCCTTGCAACCCGAGGTGCACTGAATAGGCAGCTATTGCCCTCGGATTTCAGGTTTATGGCTTAAACATCTTCACTCTAGACAACAATGGAGGCGTGCCCCTTTATCCCCCCGATTTAAGGGTTTCAGGTTACCAAGTATTTTTGAAAATCAGGGAAATCCTCCCTCCCTCCCTCCAACCCTCCTCCTCCCGACTCGCCTCCCCACCCCCATAACGGGTGCCCTGCTCTATTGGGGGTAGAACACAGAAGATGGGGGGCGGGGGGGCTCGCTGCGTCTGGGAAACTCGGGACTTGGTTGGGTCCGGGGGACATGGGGGGGTTAGGGGCTCCGCTTCGCAATGCCTGGCGCGCAAAGAAAACGTGCGATTCCGGGGGGCCCAGCTTGAGTGCCCGGTCCCCACCGACAGGTCCCCACTCCGCAGTGCGCCGAGAGGGGCGGCGGCCCGAGGGGGTCTCCCGCGAGGCCCCGC